GTGTTGAAAAATATTAAAGTATTATTTCTGCTGTAAGTAGAATCACTCTGAAAAGCTTTTTCGTAAGTTTGTTGTTGAATAAATGCCATCATTGATTATTAGATAAGACTTCCTCACTTATCAGTATGTGGAAAGTTGAAAAAAATAGTTTATTTTGTAAACTAGCTATTAAAGTTAAAGAGACTAGAAATATTAACAATATTGAGATACATAATCTAGAATTACGAGTACGTAACTTAGGCCCGATTCGACCAAACTTTTATCCGAGAATAACTCCTGGTATAACTGGCACATTGACAGTTTCAGTATCATAGTAGTAGTACATCATCAGTTTTGACATATTTCCCATATGTCAAAACTGACGATTTATTCTGAGATTCATATTTACTCTTGTTTGGTCGAATCCACCCTTAGTGATCATCCTACGAAAACATAGCTTTTTTTGCAAGTAAATCGAATTTCTTCCAAAATCACTGTTTCATGCAGCTCTTTTCACTGTGCGCCCAGTGATACGTATCACAGGTGCCTCCTCGCCCCTCCCCCTCGGAAATTGGCTCGCCGCACAATTTCCACGTAGCTGCAATCCGCCGATCTAACGCCTATCTGCACCTCCGCTCTTTGTCCGCGCGGGCTCAAAAAATTAAATCCACTCCGTTTCCGAACGGATTTTCACGTTCTATTTTTGAATTTTTAAATTGTGGAAATTGATTTTTTTTTGGATATGGTTAAATTACCTGCCAGTGTTGTGGTATGGTCCTGTGCTATGGGTGTTTCTTGTTATAATCTTTACTGAAGCATAATATCACGGTAATACTATCTATACAGTATTCCAACTCGGCCATATTTTTGAAATAAATGTCAACAGCCCCGCGGTACGTCACGGTATGACAACATGCGATAGGGCTGCTCACCTACAGTACCCATTCTAATTACATCTGTCTACTTAGAATTTCTATCTACACACACCGGCAGATTTAGAGGAACGGAAAAAAAAGCATCAATATCATCATTATTTTAGGAAAAAAATGCCTAATTATGACATTATTTTTTAATTTAATTCTAAATATGAAAAAAATAATTGCCAACAGTATATTTTTTTAATTATTTTGTTTAAATTACCCCATCAACAGTTTCGTTGAGTGTTTTGAATTGAATGAAGCTTTTGCTAATTTGGATTTCTTTTACGTGAAAGATGTTTTTTTATTGTAATTTTTTTTTATTTAGACAAACAAAATACTTTTTGAATGGAATAGGATAAAAATGCGTGTTGTTTTGTGATTAGTAGATTTAATTTAAAAAAATATACTAAAATAATTTTGAATCTACTAATCATAATGACCTGTTGCTTTAATTTCAGGCGGGTGAAGTCGTGGGCCAAAGCTGGTTTTAAATACAATATAATTTTCATTTCAAATCAAACTTACTGAAAATGACCATTTCTGACAGTTAATGACTAGGTAGTTTTTGACAAATTTGACCGTTTAAGACGGTAAGTCAAATTCAACCAACTTAGTCATTTTCAACACTAGGCCATCGACGTCCGTTCGGCACATTCGCGACACCCCTAACTTTTACTTTCGACCGCGTACCGAGATTCGAAATTCGAAGGAATGCTCGCGTTTCGTCGGTTTATATGAAGTTACAATACTGTATGATATTATTACCGTGATAATATGAAATCTCCTACAGTCGCTCTATTACCCAGTTTTGTTCTAAATGGCTCCTTTACTCCTTTCTTGTTACTTACTGTGGTAAGTTTGATCTGCTATACTCTGGTAAACTTTACATTGTGTAACCAAGGTTGACAAGTAGGTAAAGTTGCGGTCATCAGTTGAGATGCCGAATGGCGGCAAATTAATTTTCTTAAAAAGGCTACGGAACGGGACTATTCCCACCTCTCGTTCCCACGCGCTGCAACTTCTGTTTAGCCAGGATCTACAGTTTGGACGCCAATAAAAATGTGACTAGTGCCGGTCAAGTTTTCCCCGGGGGAAAGTTAAACTGTCATTGAAGCCGCAACGAAATTAATCAGAAAAACATAGGAGTTCGAAGCTTTACATAGGAGGAGTTCGAAGTTTTTAAATAAAGGTTACTTCTCTATTTTAGGAAATAATCATAACCTCAATAAGCGGTCCGATGGCAGACTACCCTCAAATCTCGGCGTCGATGGGGATGATTGACAGCTAATAACTCAGATTTCCCGCGGGACGCCGCAATTTGTCGCCCCCGCTGTAAGCAATCTTTGACAGATAGACTAACTGGAGACACGGTGTTTTGCCATTACTATTCTACTTTTATATATTCTCTATATTTATTTGACTCAATTATACTCTTAAATGTATAATCTCCATTATCCTGTACCCGTGGTCAACTAGAAGAAATCTCTAAAAAGCTCACCAGTAGAATATTTCAATATTCATTGACTTTTATTAAATGGAAATCTATTAACTATTATTTTTTATATAATACTAATTAATTCAAAATAATTTTGTGTTTATTCATGAAGTTCGCATCCTAATCAATGACCATTATCGCCTTCACCTTCGCTTTATCTTAAAATTTACCTTCAGTTTAAACATATTGCTGTAAATAATACCTCAGGCGTTGTTATTGAAAATTCTTAACTAGAGGATTAAGGAATTGATAGTAGTTTGATAGTAGATTAATAAGTGCATTTCATAAAAAATTTCAACTCAATTTGTTTTGTTTTTGTTCACAGGTAGAGATATCTCGCAGATAGTCACCAGTTTAGCCAGCTGTAGGTACATTAAAGCTGGGTTGCACCATCTTACTTAGACTTTAACAAACGTCAAAAATCTGTCAAACTCCATACAAAATACACCGGTTATCTGTACAGTCACGGTTAAAGTTAGGTGGTGCAACTCAGCCTAAAACTCAATACGGGTAGTCTGCAGCTTATTTGTTATCTGATAGATAACTACATCATTGTCAAAGACCACTACAACTGGCCCAAAACAAAATAAAGTACATTTTAATTTGTCTTCTCAGCTATTGTTTCATTGATAACCAACGCTCGCGAGCGTAACAAAATGTAGCTAGCGTGTCCGGCTGACGCTTCGTGTTGCTCTCTTAATTGGAAGATTACACGGCTATTAATTGGGAGTTTAGACGAATGTTCTGTTTTAATGACTACGACTACTATTGGTTTGAGTACCGGACTACTATGCCAGTCGCGGGTTCGATCTCGGAAGAATACATTTGTGCCTATGCTTAAACATATAAAAGTATGTGTTTAAGTTTTGGTTTAGGGCTGTAAAGTATTCTTGAAGACACTACCTTAACTTTTACCAAAAAGAAATTAGCTAACACAAATTAGAAAACCTAAGAGCCAGTAAGAAAAGACAACTTGTACCTATACTAGCTGCTGGAAGTGATATCAGTTAAACACAAAAGGTCGTTGTTTCAACCAAAGTACGTCCACCGCTGGACAAAGGCCTCCTCCAAAGATTTTCACAACGATCGGTATTGTGCTGGTCGTTCACTTAATACATCCCTAGGTAGGTATATTTTATGTTTGTATACTGAAGTAGGTTTATCTTGAAACAAAGAAGACAATAAAGTCTTGAAGACACATCCAGAAGTTCCAATTCAATGTTCCTATCGGTTTAAATAAAAAGCTCTTCAGCTAATGGCGCTACTCGTTAATACTTCCTTGGCTGTACTATCGTCAGCAGCACATCAGGCTATCCATTGTTGTTACAATATCGCTCTTATTACAACCAGATAAAGTGCCGCAGTATTTACTTTGACTTGCCGTCATTCGTAGTACCTAAATCATCTATTTATAATTAAAACGCAGGCTTATCTTCGGAGTTTTGCTTTTAACGGATTTTCGGATACACCAATCTTATTCTCTCGTACTCGTAAGATTGGTTAAGTTTCCACCAGAGATGTCCTAAGAAGATGAATGGAACGAGAATGTAGCGAAGCCATGAAACGGTGCGCAGATAAGCGGGGCTCTTTTCAGATGCAAACAGAATAAGATGGAATTGTAGTCCGGTACATAAACCACTAGCTAGACCATGCACCAATGACATAACTATAAAAAATATTTGCCACATCTTTTAAGCCAGGGGTCTCCAGGCTACGGTCCGCGGGCTATATCCGGCCCGCCACTGCCATCAATCGGGCCGCGACAGCTTAGCGGTTTCAAACAAAAGTGCTTCGTCGCGGACTTACGTATGAAACCGCACGGGCGTCCGCTTAACGCAGTTTCAAGCCTTAAGACTAAGTCTATGTTTGCATAGGTGGACAGAAAAATTAAAATTGTTATGGCATTTGCAACATACCGAAAAAAATATTATAGCCCCAAGGCTTCAAAGTTTGGAGACCCCTGATTTAAGGGATATAACGCACATCATTTGCTACTTATTAGCGGTGGTACTAACGAACGCTCCCCTCTCTCCCCTATCAGAACATGATCCCTTGCACTCGAGTCATCCGACAGATTCTCTAATGAAACAATTTGGCACACGCTCCCGTACCCTCCGTTGATTTATTGGGCACACCTGAAGCCAAACTGTAACATATATACATACATAGTACACACATATTAAGCTTACGCATATCAATATACCCTGCCTAGCCCTTTCTTTCGAATGTTTAGATATGATAACATACTAGTAACATACCTACTTGAAATAAAGCTTTTTGTGTTAGATAGCCAGAAAGGCTGTATAGGCTATATGCGACTTATAGGAGCAAAGTATCATTGAAAAGTGTTGGGAAACGGGAAAATACTTCAAACGGTTTTCACGCGAACGAAGTTGCAGGCACAGCTAATATTTTAGTAAACTTTAAATAGACTTTGAAGACACGTATAAACCTCCTTGTTTCAATTTCTTTAATTGATTTCATTCATCTTTGACTGCCGTGAAATTGACAAGCAAGAAGATAAACAAACTTCATTTGGTGTCATTGTCATTTTGTGTTTTGTACAGTTTTATTTTATAGTCGCTTTATTCAAAATGTATGTTTTAACGATATTGTTAATGTTCGTTTTCCCTACGAAAATAGTAATTCATGCTTACGAGTACTCCATCAATGTTGGAACTGTGTTATTCTCTCCTTCGGACAGACGTAAGACTCATTGGAGTAAGACTGAGTTAGGGCTGATAAGAGCTCGACGATATTTTCAGGAACTGCTACCTCCGCCAAGTTTCATAGATACATCAAACGAGGATTACATACACACGCTGCTCAAATACTTCAAAGACACCTATGCTACCATCAAAAGAGAAGCAGAATGCCCAGTCTCTGACAACCTAATGACAACAGCATTCTCTGATGCTTTGGGAGGCTATCTAAAACTTTGGGTGCTACCTATTTCAAAACTATCGTTCTACGGAGGAACTGTGTCCCAGGATAACATTGTAAAACTTTACAATTTTCACAATGAGATCAAAAGGTATATGGGGACAGATGGTGTAGGCTGGCGGAGTCCTGATAAGATTCTACTCAAGTCTATAACGATAAACATTGCTCCACCACGACATATAACTAGAAGTATGAAGAATGCGTGTCAGCATCTAGCGTATTATGAGAAAACAGATCATGGTCTATCTATTCCTACCCCTCACATTGATTGGGAAGACGATTCACACACAATGTTTGTGCCTCTTCGCAACCAGTCATTGATTCCTCTTGATTCACCTAATTACCCCAATACCTTATTCAAATACTACGATGCAGCCAAAAACTGTATAGACGAGAGTAACAATGCTGACCAAGCAGAATTCGATGATAGATTTCAATCATGGCTGAGCTCAGATGTCGTGCCGCATCTCAGTGATGAGAACGTCTATTTACCTCTGGGCAGTGTACTGACGTTAGTCAACAAATCGAGGGCCCTGTGTGACAGAGTCTTGAATATTTACGATTCCAAAATCAAACCGACAAATCGCCACTACGTGTTATTTGGTTTCCCTATAGATTTCACCTCAAAGAAAACCTGGATCATTGGATTGATATTGTTTCTTGAGATCGCCTGGTGTATCCCAGCTTTAATTTACTTGGCATTTGCAAGAAAAAAGAAGAAAAAGCAGCAGAACAACATCTACACTCTCCTGGACGCTTGCCGAAATAAAGCAAAGAGGACCAAAAATGACAATGTATTTCAAGGCATCTCATACAAAATGAAACATCAAAATCAAGGATTCAAGATCGAAAATCGGCCACGTTCAGAAAACCTTGAATTAGAATCTCATTTCATCCCATCTGATTCGCGGGGCTCCATCGCCACGGACACAAGATCATATTTCGGGTCGAATGCTTGTTCCGCTGTGAGCGTGATCCATGAGACTAGGCCACCGCCGTTAAAGTCGTCATTGAAGAAGATACGCAGCTCACATACAGCTCCCATACAACAAACTGTATCAATGAAGCAGTCAAGGTCAGACAGAACCTGCGCCTCGGGAAAGAGGCCGTGCAATTGCAAAAAATGCACTCCACAGCAGAGTGCGACCACCAACAGCTACAGCACTATCCCAACGGAACTAGGTAAAACTATTTCATCTTTAAAAGAAATGCATGAGCCTTTAGATACAACAATATCAGGAATATCCAATACTACCCACGTGAAATCCTCGAGTGACCTTAAACGTAAAAACATACCTTCTATACATATTGCTACACCAGTAGTTTCAGGTGAAATGGCTAAAGATTGTCCTTGTCTTGCCTGTTTAGAGTTGGAAGCTGAAGTTGGGAGTGAGATAACCATCGTGAATCAGGAGAACAAAGCGCCTGAGGTGTGCTTTGACAAGAATGTGGCGATAAATATGGACGATGAGGCCAAGCCGGATAAGAAGTGCAAAAACGTGGGACTGAGGCTAGAATCTGGTCGGCCTTACTTGGAGATAAAGATTGATAAGCCGCAGGCAGAGATAAGCGTGGGGATTGGGGGCATATTTGATCCTTTGAAGGGTATAAAGCGGAGCAAGATCCCGAAAAGGCTTCCGAAGACGAGCACTTGTCAGATGACGAATACACCACCGTCACCTCCAAGAAAAGAGTCCCCTCCGCCAAAGATGAAGAGCCAAATACCTCAGCTGAAGAAAAGACCTGTAGATGACATTGACGTGCAACTACGTAGGCCTTCGAGCAGGCGTAAAGATAGTAAACTAAATGTAACTTTGTAATTTTAGCTTACGTATAGTGTAATCTTATTTTGTATTGGTGTTAATATATTGGTTTTAGGAGTCCAGGTGTTTGTTTTTTCTTTTACACTTTCATTACCTATAACTTCATTATCATCATCATCTCAGCCATAGGACGTCCACTGCTGAACATAGGCCTTTAGGCCCCCAATGCTTTCCATGTTGCCCGGTTGGTAGCGGCCGCGTCCAGCGCCTTCCTGCTACCTTTATAATGTCATCGGTCCACCTTGTGTGTGTGGGCTCCACTCCAGAACTTTGCTGCTCCATCGGCCGTCACATATAATTTAAAGGTAACATAAATAGGATTAGGTAACAATTACAGGTGATCGTACAGAATACATACCTACATTTAGGGCCAGAATATTCGCTGCTGCTAGGACAATAACAATTTTTGCTTTACCAATAACACACATAAATCCAAATAAAGTTAGTTGCACACTACACCGGCTAATCACACTGACGAATTTATCGAGTTCGGGAGGGCCCGGTGAATTATGGCGCCTGCGCTCAGGTGGCGCGGCACCGCACTAATCTGTCATTACGGCGCCACTTAGCGAATGAGGCTCGGACCTCGGGTTTGGTATAAATATTAAATATTATACTGATCCTGGGTGTTGGGGGTATTTCAGGTCAAGCTGAAATATAAAGTAAGTTTCCTAAGGACAAACTTGGCATCTACACTACACTGTTTGAGACGCAGGTAGCCTTACTACTACTAATTCGTAGTTCATCTGAGGCAGTGGATAGGATGACTTTTTTTTAACCACAACGAGGAAGCTCTTGGCCTGTAAATCTTACCAGTGTGCCTACCATGAGTTTACGTTAGGTGAGCTCGCTAGCGAATACGTCAAAAAATTATCATCAACAGCCCTTTACAGTCCACTGCTGGACTATGAGCCTCCTCCACTATAGTGGAGGGTTTTGCCATAATCTCCACGCTTGGCAGGCGGGTTGGAGATCGCAGTTTAAAAGATTGATGTTTTTCAGAGAGCGCTGCTGCCCATTCTCTGTTTGATGTGTAGTCCCTAAGTCGCCTCTTACGACACCCGCGGGAAGAGTAGGGGTTGGTGACAAATGTATTCTACTCTGCCGTCACCACACGGCTACAAAAAATTATATGAAGATCTTATTTCTTGAAAGTAGCCACTAGGGGCGCTGCACAATATGTCATACAAATGTCATTTTTTTACGCAATCGCTAGCGAGCACACCTAACGTAAACTCATGGTAGGCACACAGATGGTAAGTGATGATGACTGAAACATGATTTGCTCTTATTAGGAGTTCTAATTTAGGACTGTCTGTAGTAATCACTGAGTACAGAGACATGCAAATCTGCAAAAAGTTTGTGTCCACCTGAAAAAGCCAATTTTATCAAGGTTTTTCTAATAAATATTGATAATAAACATTGTCCAGTGAGCTAGATAATTATGTTTTTTCAGCTGTAACGCCTGCAGATAGCAGCTTATAAAGAACGTATGTGAGTTGACTTTTGACAATTTTAAAGAATCGTTACACAATTAAGCAAGAAAATAACGCCTGTATTCATAAACATTACTATAAGGTCTAACGCCCGTATTCACAAACGATGCTTGCTTAAGTGAAGCAGCAAATCGAACGCACAGCGTTGAATAGAGCTCTGTGATTGGTTCGTTTGTGACCCTGTGCGTCCACGCGCACTGTGAGACCTCATAATAATGTTTGTGAATACGGGCGAAACAGTTGCACTTCTAATTCGGGACTGGCTGCAGACTGAGTAACAGAGATATGCAAATCTGCCAAAAGTTTGTGTCCACCTGAAAAAGCCAATTTTATTAAGGTTTTTCTAATAAATATTGATAATAAACATTGTCCGGTGAGCTAGATAATTATGTTTTTTCAGCTGTAACGCCTGCAGATAGCAGCTTATAAAGAACGTATGTGAGTTGACTTTTGACAATTTTAAAGAATCGTTAGACAAAATAACGCCTGTATTCACAAACATTACTATGAGGTCTCACGCCCGTCGCCCGAAGCAGCAAATCGAACGCACAGAGTTGAACAGAGCTCAAAACACTGTGCGTCCACGCGCACTGTGAGACTTCATAATAAAGGCAGTAAAGGCGTCAGGTGTTTTATGGACTTTGCACCTATAACTGTATCAGCTAATACACTAAATCAATGAAAATGCTTTGAAAAATCTTTGCAGATGTTCCGAATCTCTTCACCAATTAAGGGTGTCTATAAATTAGGGGGTGCTCAGGACAATTTGGCCGCTAATCCCGTGTCGATTGAGGATTATCCCGACAATCGCTGTAATCCACCGCATTAGGACTGGCCCGCTATTTATTGGGAAGTGGTCACCCTAAGCGATCCGTCTTGTGGGTAGTTGCTAGTTGAAATAGATTTCGGTAAATCAGTGGGAGTGAAGAATGGGCTATGAGGTTTATTGTTTGGTTGGAGGATATTGAATTATTAGCATTATTAGTAAGTTATTCAAGTGATATACATTAATACAATACAACATACATCTGTTTCCGCAATTTATTACACCGATCTTGTCGCGACAAGGAAAAATTTCCGTGCTTTTAAGCGATTTTGTGAACAATATTATTGGCAGGTAATTGCTAATTGCTCATAAGATAGGCCCCCTTAATTTAATTTATTGTCCGTGGTGCATAATCTTTTTCTTAAAGGTTTTAAACCTTTGTTTGTCACCTGTCATCCGCTTTGCAATGGAGGGAAGTCGAACCTTAATTTCGAACTCCTCCTATGTTCTTCTGATTAATTTCGTTGCGGGTCCAATGACAGTTTAACTTTCCCCCGGGACAAACTTGACCTTCATTGGTTGGGTTTTTGTGGCGGTCAAGCTGTAGATCCTGGCTACACAGGAGTTGCAGTGGTGGGAACGAGAGGTGGGAATAGTCCCGTAAGTGATATACAATCACGCAGCCAATCTTGACTCAAATTAAGACAAACTTATGAATATACGCCTAGTTGCGACGACTTCGGATGGAAGCGCTGATTGGGTGTTAGACATCATTTACCTATATCTACATACCTATTTTAGCCTGATATACGTATACAATAGTATACATATGTATATTTTCTTTGAAATCAATAGCCTAAGCATTTAAATCAATTGAGTAATTTGTCGAAAAAGAAACGTAAAAGCTTCATAAAACTAAGGGAATTCCCTCCATATGATATTCAATAGAAATTATGTGAATAGAAATACTTTTAAACCTTTTTAAACCCATTTTTAAATGTGAATGATCGTAAATTTAAAATATACGTTAAGTGACGAAACAAATGACGTAAAGCCTATTTAATAATTTCCCATAAATCTATCAACATTAATACAGTTTTAAAGGTAGACAGCAACAAATGTACTCTTAATCCGTGATATTAAACAAACGTAAACCAGTAGGGCTACCCTCAACACCGATAGCAAATTTTCAAAAATATCCATCTCTCTCATTCAAAACTAGATGCCTTAATGAGTGACAGTGACAGAATCGAAAATACTTTAGCGGTGTTAAAGAATAGCTTCCCTGAACTGGTCAGGGTCGGTCGAACCGGGTCGGACTCCGGACTGGGGGTTGATTTACCGCCCGGATTATGGGGGATGATGCTGATAAACCACTGGTATTTTCGTTTTAGGGGCCCAGGAAGTTGGATGTTCAAAATAATAAAATACAAGTGCGTTATTGTTTAATATTTTGAGTAATTACAATACTCTACATGGCGGTATTCAAGAATTTTAGTACTTCAAGAATTTACTCGCCGCTTCACTCGTGAGTAAAATTTATTTTCTTCAAAATAATTTTTCGTGACAGAATAACAAACAAACATCCATCCGTACATCTACACAAACTTTCAGATAGCCTATAGATAGTAGGTATTAGTAGGATTTTTGAACTTCAATTGATTCTATACAGATGCTTTGTAGACCCTTATCCTTATAACTTTATTTTTCTTTTCTTAAGTGCAGTTTCTCCAAAGGCTAGAAAAAATCACTTTTTATTTTTTCCACTAACAACCGCTAAGGAAAAGTAGGTAGGCACCGACACTTTTCCTTTCTAAAAATCCACCCTGTTTCCGCCATAAAACATCCCAGACATTTTATCATCCAAAAGTTCACTTTCTGATTGCAGCATTATTTCGTCTCCCATAAATCACCGCGATGAGAAGTGACGTCAACAAAACTCCACAATTTATGAAGTCGTCTCCCGCAAAATAAATAATTTGTTCATCGGTGCGGAAGAAAAACTCCTTAAATTAACCCGTTGACAACCGCGCAGACGATAATTTAAACAATCTCCCCTGTTTGCCGAAACCCAAGATTTGCCGGGCCCATTTGTAACCCTTATCTTGGGGCTAGGATTAGTGTTGTAAGGCTGCAATCGGGAAGTGCCGTTTGTCGATTCGAATGCAAATGGCATTTTTAGATAAGACTTCGTACATTGTGCACAACATCAATTTGTTCCATCTATCCTTATCCTGCATTAAATAATTCGTTCGTTCGTTCGTTTCAGCCAAATGAATAAAGTTGCGGACATAGCCCGACGGTTTAGCAAGCTGAAGTGGCAATGGGCAGGGCACATACCTAGTACGCAAAAATGACGGCCGATGGGAAAGCAAGGTTCTGGAATGGAGGCCGCGTACCGAAAAACGCAGTGTGGGACGTCCCACAAGGTGGACCGACGACATCATAATGGTTGCGCTATCAATCGATCAACATGAAAAGCATTGGGGGAGGCCTGTGTTCAGCAGTGGACGTCCTGTGGCTGAAATGATGATGATGTTATGTATTTCACCGGACACAATAACACGATGATGCTAATTTGGCAAAAAAATTCAGACATAAGAACAACACTACCCCAAATCAGAGAGCAAAGACGTCACCACAAGGTGGCAAGCACCAACGGAAGGCTCCGACTCAGTGGACTGACTTCCTAATTGAGGCAGGTAGTGGTAATTAAAGGAGTAATGAGGTCCCTGGGGAAGCCGAAGATACGCAGATGGCGGGTGAGGAATAGCCCATGAGATAACGA